TGTGCATGCAGTCTTGTGTAAATTTGTTTGTTCCTTCATACCACGTTTGTGATTAGAAATATTGATGTTGCAAACAATATGTGGTATTATGACTGCACTCAAGTGTCACGCATGCACTGTGTTCATTATGGCCCTGGCTTCTCACATGGTCCAAGGGAGGCCACTGAGTATTGTCCCTGCTGTACTGTAAGAGTTTTTCTCCAACCGATGTACTCAACATCGTGGAAGTCGCTGCGGTGATGTTTCTGCACATGGCTCATGAGAGATGTGAGCAGATCACCACGTTTCTCAAGATATGAACTCCCTTACCAGTTCCCTTGTCTCAAGTGGCGGAGTCGACCGTCTGCATGCATCTGCACCCTCCGGGGCGGTGCCAGTGACTGAAGTGTCTTTAGGCCATTCCCAAAGGGGGGGACATTTCTCGTTCTAATGCACTGTAAAATTGTAAATGGGCTGATCCAATGATGTCATTCTCATAACTGTGCCTGAACTACAACAGGGAACTGCTGCTTTTTCTTTCCTAATCCTTACTATTGTCATTTTCCTTTATTTCTTTTGTATGTTTGTACCATTCCGGGGTGCCTTGATAGTCGAAGCAGACTTTGTGCTGCTGAAGCTAGAGAGGTGAGCAGAGTAAGCCTGATTCCCTGTAAGAACTTCTCTATTGAAATCCACCCCTTGGCGCTCATATGACCTTAGGCAGTTGCGAGCACCATAAAACCTCTACTAAAACTAAAACTAAACTCATCTGTCCTGCCAGTTTCTCACATCCAGTCTTGTGTCCAGTTATGTCTCTACGAGCTTGCTCAGCAGTGCCGTCACCCTCCTCTACATGTGTTATGTCCTACCGATAGATCACTCACCTTTACATACATATGTAGTAATATGATTGCTCTATTCTACATGTGTCCAGTTATATCACCTCAACATACTGGTATGTGTCTCCAGCTGTGAGGTCTTACCTCTACACGTGTATGTGTGTTGTAGTAAAGTCACTCGCTTCTACACATGTGTCCAACAATATGGTCATCACCACTACATATGTGTCCAGCAATATGGTGGTTATCACCACTACATCACCACTACACATGTGTCCAGCAATATGGTCGTCACCCCTACATATGCTTCCAGCAATATGGTGGTTATCACCATTACACATGTCCAGCAATATGGTGGTTATCACCACTACACATGTCCAGCAATATGGTCATCACCACTACACACATGTCCAGATGTGCGGTCATTCACTGTCATCACTTACGCAGAGAACTTTCAACTGTCTCTGCCTGACGATTGCAGGGTTCCTGGCATGGTAGTACCATTGTTGTTCTCTGTACTGAGTAGTGGGTAGAATTGTCAGTAGAGCTGCTTTGTTGACAACTCACTTAGCCGCAAAGCAGTTGAGTGTTGTGAAATATCTACCTATACTCTTCATTTTCGGAATTAGTTTTTTTTTAGTATGCTTTGTGACAAATGATGTGGCGTAGTACACACAGATTCCTTTATATCGAGCACTTGATTTCATCGCAATGCTACACGTACTTGTGTTACTCTCAGTGTCTTAGACAACATTTTATGTCTTTGTCCTACCCTTTGTCATAGATTAAGCCATTTATTCTGAATACAGTGTCCTTCTTAACTCTTTAAAACCCATTTGGAGCGTCCGGTGGTAATAACCCTGTGCCCCATCGGACGCTGGGAGCATCCAATACCCCAATACCAGTGACAACTGTTTCATTTTATTTAGTGCTAGTTTTTGCTTGTTTTTCAGACTGTTCCCGAACCAGGTTTTATTGTAATGATTAAGCCTTTGTGTCCGCCTTTTAGAAGTTGGAGGCAAGCTTTTGGGGTTATAATGAGACATAGTGCACCAGGTTTAGGTGACTGTAGAAAAACTCCAGGAAACGGTGGAAAACACTCAGGGTTTAAAGAGTTAAGCCAATGTCGTATGGTAGATACTATGTCGCACCCAATTTCCTACATCATGTCCTACACTCCTGTTATTCAAGACAATCTTTTATTTCTACAGACTTCAACATAAGTTCAGGACCACCTTGACTGACAGCTCTTTTTTTTTTAATCCGAAAAAAAAAAAGACAGCAAGGAATGTTTCAAAATGTTTTGCTCTGAAAGTGTTAGTGGGTCACCAATGCATACTACAAAGCTTCCTAAAGGGGCAAAACCACCGCGTGCAGCACGGAAATCCTCTGGGAATTTTAGCCAAATTTGCTGTTTTTTAAATCAATTTGTGGGAAACACCACGGACATTCCTCAGTTTAAATTTCTGATGCACGTCATAAGCAGACGTATAGTCTCGACCTGTACCACTTTGGTGGCAGTATAAGCCGCCATTTGCGCCATATCCAGTATTGCATCAACATACCACCAAGACGAAAGCAGAGAGACTGATCGTACCAGAGCTATGGCATGGCTGCAGGATGGAGTTGGAGTTTGAGAAGTTGCCAGAAGGCTTGCAGTGTCATACTCTGTCATTGTCTGCTTGAGGCAGCGCCATCAAGTTACTGGATCAGTCCAAGAACGCCCATGTGCAGGTCGACCCAAGAAGACCACTCAAAGTGTTTTCAAGTGGTCCTTGACTTATGCTGAAGTCTGTATATCACACGCAAACTCAGTGTCCTAGTTTTCTGATTTTTTCCTTTTGTTGTTTTTGTCTGTCCATCTTACTTCCTTCTCAGAGAGAGAGAGATGAGAGAGAGTGAGATGAGAGAGAGAGAGAGAGAGAGAGAGAGAGAGAAAGAGTGAGATGAGAGAGAGAGAGAGAGAAAAAGAGTGAGATGAGAGAGAGAGAGAGAGAGAAAAAGAGTGAGATGAGAGAGAGAGAGAGAGAGAGAAAAAGAGTGAGATGAGAGAGAGAGAGAGAGAGGGAAAAAGAGTGAGATGAGAGAGAGAGAGAGAGAGAAAAAGAGTGAGATGAGAGAGAGAGAGAGAGAGAGTTTCAAGTGTGCGGTGTAGCTGCTGCTGACCTTTTATTATGCTTGAATTTTTTAACGAAGGCACACCTCTCTCCCTTGATACGTCTCAATGTTTCCAACTCATTTCATTGTTGCCCCAGATATTTGTTCCACATTATCACCACATGATTGTCTACCCTGATATATTTCAATGTTCCTGCCATCTTTTTTTGTAATCCTCCGATATTTTCCCATCTTGTCTCCCGATGATTAATTCCCTTGTTAGGTTTCAACGTTGTTCCCTTTCTACATGCCCCTCATACATTTTATTGTTGCCACCTCGTTGTTTTCTCCTCTCACATTTCTTTATGTGATCCCCTCAGGAATACCTGCCCTGATATATTGTAATGTTTTCACCATCTTTTTTTCTCTCCTCGACACATTTCAATGTTATCGACACATGTTTATCTCCACTTATACATCCCGCTGTCAATGGGTGTGTGGAGGATGTCATTAGTAGATCCTACTTCTTGTCTTCCCGGCTGTAGCTTTTGTCCGTCAACCTTGCCTCTTCCTTGTGGCAAATGGCCCTTGATGTGTATATGTGCTTCTCTTTCCTTAGACTATAACCGAGCTAAGTCTACATTGCAGGGTTATCACCTTGTGGTGGTCTCTCCTAGTACCTGTATGTTGTTGCTCACGTGATCAGATCAGAAAAGCAACACGGGGTAAAATTTTCTTGAGAAAGAAAAGGACTGATTTATTAGAAGGATTTTTATATATATATCTATTTACAAAATTACTTTAAAATTTAAAATGGTATTGCAAGTGTGCCTCTCAGTAAATTAAGCAATTCTTTGATTCTGAGAAAAGTAAAAAAATGTTCATGTCTTGATAAGATCAGATAACTCCCAGTGTAGGGAAATATCTGACTTTATCACGACCGTTGTGGAATGTCTAAAGGAGTTATCTGAATGTTTTAGCGGTGTGAAACAGAGCTTTGTCTCCTGTTGGCTGTTGAAGTAATTTGTTGAGAAGTCACAGTAGTTAAGTTTGAACGCACTAAAACACTTTAATTCAATAAGGCAAGCACTCTTCATAGGAAGCATGGTAATCTTTTCTAAGTGGATGGTGCCTACGTTTGTCGCTTGTTCGACACATCATGATGGCAACGATATGTGTTCATGTTTTGAACGCATGATTGACTCTCCTGATATATTATATCTCCGTGGGTGGTTGGAGGTGGCTACTGGTAGGCTCGTGAGTTGTTCTTTACTTTTGTTCTGTGGGTGGTTGGCGGGTGCTCTGGTGTGGTTTGCTTCTTCTTTCCCATCGAACATCTATTATCCTGATCTCTCGTCCTTCTTTTTTATGTTTGTTACTCTCTTGTAACACCTCTAATCTTCGGCTCTTATATATGACCTTATTGTGTTGCAAGTGCCGTAAAACTCTTACTGTGGGTGGTTGGCAGGTGCTCTGGTGTGGTTTGCTTCTTCTCTCTTATCAAACATCTGTCGTCCTTATCTCCCCTTCTTCTTTTTTATGTTTGTTACTCTCTTGTAACACCTCCAATCTTCTGGCGCTCATATGACCTTATGCAGTTGAGACCGCGGTAAAACCTCTTCTAAAACTAAACTGACTATTATATCTCAGTGGTTGGTGGGAGGTGGCTGCTGGTAGGCTCATAATTTGTTCTTTACTTTTGTTCTGTCGTTTCCGTCTGTCTGTTTCTCTCGATCTCGGCACAAAATGACGGTTATTGTGCTTCTTAAACCCAGTACGGTACATAACCAAATTGATGTCTTGATCGTATCACTGTTTGACTGTTTCCTTTGATGTGTTTCAAACCAGTGGGTGGTTGGTGGGTGCTCTGATGTGGTTTGCTCTTCTTTCCTATCAAACTATCTATCACCCTTATCTCTCCTTCTTTTATTTATTTGTTAACTTCTAGTAATACCTCTAATATTAATATCTTTAGCACTTACTGTGACCTAATTGTGTTGCAAGTGCCGTAAAAATGCTTACTGAAAAAAAAACCCACCTAAGTTTCTAACCATTCACTTTGTGTTTATTTCTCTCCCCCGACAGATCAGACGGGCGATCGTGGCTCAGCGAGACACAGATGATTGAACAACAGCTAAGTAGGTGGCAGCCATCTTGCTTGGAATTTTTTTACCTGTTTTTCATTTTCTTTTTAGTAAAAGTTAGATGTACCAACATCTGTGAGTAGATGGTTGGACGACGCCACTGTAGGTTCTACGGTACTTCTTTTCGCTCACTCTGTTATTTCTGTCTTGCTTTACCCTGCACTGACTGTCCCTGTCGTTTTATGAAAGAAAAATTCTGAAATTATGCAGAGATCAAAAATGTGAAATGATGCTATTCTGTTAATTTTAACAAATACGATAAAGGAAAATAATCAGAAATTATGCAAAAAATGATCAAATTTTGCTAAATTATGCGGAATGCATAAAACCACTGTTCCTATGTTGATGCGCTTCTCTTCAAACCAACAAACAAGCCTCTGTGGTGTAGCGGCTAGGCTTTTGGCCTGAGTGTGTAAAAGAATAAAGATAGGAGCTCAGTTCCTGTGTGATGAAGTCGCATCGTATCAAATTCCCAATCTTCCTGCTGGGATGCTGTGTCCCAATCAGCTGGGGCCGGCCATGGCGGGAAGGATTGAATCAGTCCACTTCTTATGTCATCTAGATTGTGTTGATGCGGCATCTCGTAGAACAATTACGATCATCCATAAATAAGTGACATCCTTCTTGAGAAAGCACAACTCATTTGAACAGCACAGCAGTTGGTTCCCCTGTGTCTGTCTGTCTGTCTGTCTGTGTGTATATATATATGTATGTACAATGCTCTGTGCAGTTGTATGTGTGTCACGTACGTGTCTGTGTCTTTGTGTGACTGTCTGTCTGTCTGTGTCTGTGTATATATATGTATGCACTGTGCAGTTGTATGTGTGTCACGTATGTGTCTGTGTCTTTGTGTATTTTAGTTTGGATAGGTTAAAGTTGAAAGGTAAAGTTTTTCTTTGACAAGCTTTTCTCGACTGATCGTACATAATGGGGCTTTCTGTCCTGTTTTTGTTAGTTTGACAGCTTAATTTATGCGCTCACAGACCCGAAAAAGTTCATTCATAGACTGTCTATGGCTCTCAAATATGTGATCTATTGCAGTTGAACAATTTTTACTTAGGAACACAATTCACTAACTGATTGCCAGTCACTGCAAAGTGCTGGAAAAAGAAAACTCACATCATTAGAAAGTATGATTTGATGATTATCACCCCGCGCTAACAGAAATGAACGTACCTGGTAACTGACTCATTTTGGAATGATTTTTTATTAAATTTGAATAGATCACATTCTCAACGGCACTCCTGATCACTTCACACTCACAATTTAAAACTGTTAATATTTCCAAATGAATCAATATAAACCTTCGTTTGAAACCTTCGTGAGATATCAAGAAGACTCAGAAAAAGCAGAATTGGCAAAGAAATAGATTCTGGGGGTGGGGTGAGCATCCTTTTATGGCTCATGAAATAAATGAAAGACACATGATGTTCTGTTACGGGTACGATAGCATATCGCTGTGCGCGTGTTGACCCCAGTCAACCCCTGACCACAAGGATGTAATTGCAGGTTACCTGTCACTGATTTATGGCCTAACGCGGGAGGCCGAGGCAGATTAAAAGATTGCTGAGGGGAAGATTGGATGCCATGCCTTATCTTTCCTTCTTTTTTCGGGTTTGTTTCTCTAGTGTAACAAATTTACTCTTCGACACGAATGATCTAATAGTGTTGTAAGTGCCGTAAAACTCTGTCTTCAATTTTTTAAAACTTTCTCATCACTTGCAGAGGATGTCTTTTAGGACGTTGAGTCCCCCTCAGCCCGGGTTGGCTCCTATTGGTAGGGTCAAACTTTGCCCGTCATAAATTATGTCCATCGTATTGATTGGGGTGTAATACATTGTAACTGAATTTTAGATTTTTCGTTTTTTTGAGAGATTGGTGCAAACTTTGTTATTTTTCTCCACAGATATGTCCTCGTTAGGTTCTCAGAACACATCATCTCTTGGTGAGCAACCGTACACATCCAGCTACTCCAGCAAGTAAGTAGAGATTGCTAGTACAGAAAAAAGATATACAGATCTATGAACCTGCTCTAACAGCCACATTTATCTATATAAAGACTATCACCTGTATAAAAGGCCACTTTCCATTTCACCCTTTGCATTTTTTAAACTTTGTAATGATGCTCTGTAAGATTTCCACCTGTCTAAGACGGTCACCCAGGACAGTGGATGGCTGTCTTATACAGTTTTAACTAATTTATTACTTCGGGGTTGGAGGGCACCACTGGTAGGTGAAACACCAAACCAATGTGCCAGGATCTGGACAATAAAGATATATCTTATCTTATCTTTTCTGTCAGTTACTCTTTTTCTATCTGTGTAAAGAGAGCTCTGGGTTCACAGACTGAAAGATCTTCATCTCACAATGCAGTTGACTTTTACATACACACGGAAATCTTATCTACACCCGCTATTTCCGTATGGCTGTCATCCAAATTACTAAACAGATTGTCTGTGAGTGGCACTGGCTTTTCCATGTAGCTGCTATAAGTCTCTTTTATCGGGCGGTGCTCAGGCCTGCCTTCTTGCGCTCAATAGAAAAGTGTTTTATGTCCAATATTACCACACTTTGAACCATTTAGAAGGCGGGTTCTAACTCTGCTTTTCAAGGCCAACCCGGGCTGAGAGGGATACAATGCCCCAGTAGAAAGATTGAATCGAGATACACAATAAAAATCCCCCACACACATCAATGAGAACTTCGTCTTCTGCATTCTGTGGTCAAGCATCTAACACTAACAGGTACTTCACAGATACTGGTCACGGCGCACCTGTGCAGTGGAATTTTAGTTGCAGCGTGCTGCAGGAGGTTCCATGCCGAGCGCCTTATCACGTCGGGGTCAGGGGGGTCAGCTCCCTGTCGCCGCTCTCTCTGGGCTGGCTTAATTTTTGGTTCTTTTCAACCTACAGTTTTAGGTGTATCCTCATATTTATGGTAATTATCATTTAAGTAATCTACAAACACTTGTCTAGAACAAAAACTAAGGCACAGAACATAACCATTCTAATGCAGAAATAATCTCAAGACGTTGAGCTTTTTATACATCAGTGTAATGGTTTGCTGTGGGGGAAGGGGAAGAAGTTATATTGTTTCAAACATAGACAAAAATGTGAACTTCTTAAACAATACCGGCAGAGCTCATTAACCCCGTGACCCCGAGCCGGGGAGCTCCGGCGGGCTGCTGAGTCACGCTAACTAAAGGTAACAGAATCGGACAAAAAGTGACGTCATGTGGTATACCGGCATCTGTGGTGTAGCAGTTAGGCACTTCGCGTTGGTACACACGAGACCTGAGATCGATTCTTTAGTCGAGAGAAATTTTTATCAAACAGCTCGGCTTTCTGCTGGGATGGATTGAATCATAAAAACGCCTGCATTAAAAAAATACAAACAAACAAAAAGAGGCCAGTGTGGACTATCTGAACCATCTAATTTGTATTCTGCCCGACGTGTGTCTCCCGGAATGTTTCAGGTCTTCGATGTCCTCTGCGTTCAACACGTCTGTAGATGTCCACAATCGAGCTGACCCGCCGGTCCAGAGAGAGATTCCCACTTCTATGTCAGCTCAGTCCCCGATGAGCGGTGCTCAGGCGTACCTGGAAGAACGCAAACTCAAGACTGACCACCGAAACGAGTTGGACCTTTTATCTGCACGGGAAGATTTCCAGTGGACTGACAAACTGCCGGCCAGTGTGTACAGCAAGGTCAGTCAATTTCGTCAGGAACTGCCACTCATGTTTATAGAAAGGTCAATAAGTTACCTCAAGGTCAGTCAATTACGTCAGGATCTGCTGCTAGTGTGTACAACAGGGTCAATAAGTTACAGAAAAGTCTGTGAGTTACAGTAAGGTCCATAAGTTACAGAAAAGTCTGTGAGTTACACCAAGGTCAATAAGTTACAACAAGGTCAATAAGTCACACCAAGGTCAATAAGTTACGACAAGGTCAATAAGTTACAACAAGGTCAATAAGTTACGTCGGGAACTGCCGCCTAGTCTATACAGCAAAGATATCAGCTGTGATCTAAACAATTCCATGTGCCGAAAAATTGACATATGTAAGGAGTATCAATAGTTTTTTACAGTTTTGTCATCTTAATTTTTTCCCCTTTCTTTTCAGTTTGACGTAGACGATCTCGATGGAAGAGTTCTCAAGTCACTATCATATCCAAAGGTGATTTTTTTTTTTTTTCGCATTTATTTCTTCTGAGATATTAATGGCTGTCCATGTAAAATTTCTATCTTTCACATAGATGGGTAGTAGGGCTGGATCCTGCTCGCCAAATTTAAGAGTGGCAATTCGCGATTCAGCCGGCTTCAAAGAATCACGAGTACGCGAGCGCTCGTGGAACTGTGGCGGAACACTGACTGAAACGGAACAGTGTCATATCAGCGCCACTTGGCGAGCGCGAGTCCCACTCTTGTTGTTCCGCCATCCTCTCCGCCCCACACCCTTTGTTGCGCTGCTCTATCTGCTGAAATAATGGCTCCATAAAATTCCTTCTGTCTATAGGTTGGACCCCGTTCATTTTGTTTTAATAGGGGGTGGACTATACCATCTTTTGTAAAATAAGGGGA